TTTGCAAAGATGTTAATGAGCTAGGAATGGGAATAAATGAGTTAATGAATGTGGAAGTTGCTGGATAGCTAATGTGGTGAGAAGATAGTGGAATGATGAAAGTTGGATAACTTTTCATATTACTAATCATCATCACTATTAGACTTCATCTTTATTATTTTGAATTAGCAACAAAATAAATTGAAATTTTCTAAATTCTAAAAAGTTGTAAGGTGACATTCAAAGGCCTTGTTTAAATATATAAATAATTAAAATAAAATAGATTTGTTCATGTTGTCAACCAGCCCTGTGGCTTTATTTCCCAAAAGAGAAAGAAATATGAGAAGGAAAAAAAAGGAAAAAAATGACTTGTTCAAATCTTTGGTTTAGTATCATGACCTTCCCATGTTTTAGTCCGACTAGTATAGTGTACGTGCAATGCACGTGGCATATTTATTTTATATTCTAAATTTTCCGTGGGCTAGAAGGTAGTACATTGGTTTGAAGGAAAAAGATAAAGAATTGTTTATAGAAAATTATTGGAAAGAAGTTATGAGTGCTTTAGTATGTACATTTACAAATAAAATGAGTATCAATGGTCTAGGAATCGATGTGAATAAGGATAAATAATTTTTTGACTGATTCGTTGTTATTGGCTTTTGAGGCTGAGCATGATATACGTGTAGAACTAATCGATATCGAGAACAAAAGTAATGATAATTGTTGTAGTAATATATGATGTAGATAGTTTATATATGTGATGCGAAGAAAAATATGTAGATTTTGTAGTAGTTTATACATACCTAGTAACACATAAAAATCTCTATTTAACTTTAAAAAATTGTTCATCACAACATGAACTATGGGTATAGGCATACAAATAGTATTTGATTTTGGACATACATAGATGTAACGGTTGTTTCTAGGTATGCATCAATATAATTATATGACGAAACTATCGTGTGTGTGTGTGTGTGTGTGTGTGTGTACAGAGAGAGAGAGAGAGGAATATGGGTATGCTTAGTACCAAGCACAAAATTTATGCTTGGTAGTGAGGTAACATATTATCCTCCACTCATTTAAATGGGGGGGACCACATTCACATGGGTTGAATGTGGTCCCCCAATTGAATGAGTGGATGGGAATGAGACACATCACTACCAAGCACAAAATTTGTGCTTGGTACCAAGTATACTTATTTTTCTCATATATATACACTAGTATGGTGCACGTGCGATGCACGTGTAAATACTTTCATGTTTATATGTAGCCATATAGTTTTTATTGCATTGATTATTTTTTTCTACTTGACATATACATGAACGATGTCATAGATAATATATATTATTTATAATATAAATAGATGTTATAGGGTTATAAATAGCATCATAAAAAACACTAATTTGGCATATAAAAAACCAGGATATTGACAAAAAAGACCATGAAATAAATGAAGTAACCGAAATTATTTAATTATATGTTCACTTAATGTAGCATAATCATATCTTCTTTAAGTTTGATATAAATAGACAGAAAGGAGCTCAATTTTAGCAGCATTCATCAACTTTAAAAGATGCATCATTGTTAAACTGTAGAGAGTCATGGGGAATCGGGCTGCAGCAAGGCAATTTGATCTATAATAGCTAGAGTCCATGACCTGCAAACAGAACTGAATCGAGCATGATCAGGCATCATAAACTTCTGGAGGATCAAACCTAAATATAAATGTTACATAAATGGGGAAATTACCTTTGAGATCAAAGATAGTCTGTTGCATTGTAAATAGTTAACAACTTTAATAGACATCTTCGCTGCATATTAGAATATTGTGTTAGATAATAATTGTTTGAAAGTTAATTTGTACAAAATGTGCATCATAGAATGAAAAAATAACAAGTCATGATTTGATGAGGTGATTTACCTTTGAGGCAATAATACTTCTGGATACACAATATTTTTTGCGTATGTTTTTGTTGTTCTTCTTGTTTGGTCAACTTTCACTAATACCTTAATTGTTCTCATTGATATCCCCCTTGATAATGCAACATATAATTGACCATGTAAGAATACATGGTGTGTCAAATAAACTCCAACATAAGGTATTGTTTGTCCCTGTGTTTTGTTTATTGTCATTGCAAAACATAGTCAGATTGGAAATTGTTTTCTAGTAAATTGGAATGGATAACCCTTTTCAGCTGGAGATAATGGTATTCTCGAAATCATGACATTTTGACTAGAATGTTGACCAACTGTGATTTCAGCATGGATAACATTATATTCATATCCTCTACAGATCATTCGTGTGCCATTGCCAATGTTACATTAAACGTTGGGCGCTTCTAGGCGTCAGACTTGGCGCCCAATGCTTAGTCGCCTAGGCGGGCGCCTAAGCGGTTTTTAGGCGTTTTTTTTTCTTCATTTAAGTGGTGGTCGATGAGGTTTTGCTGAAGGTCGGAGGAAGTAGTGGAGATGTTCATATTTGGAGGTTAATGGAGTTTGGAGGACGTGTACGTTACGACACATAAAATCACAATCAACGCCTACAAGGTGCAATCCACGTAAGCAGACAATGCTCACCTAAACATTCGTAATATCTAGGTGGGCAGCCTAAATACCGCCTAGACGCTAGGCGCTAGTTAGGCGGCCTAGGTACCGCCTAGGCCTAGGCATACGCCTAAACGGACTAGGCGGAGGTTTTTTAAAACAGTGGCCATTGCACATTCCATTAGATGGATCAAGATTACGTAACAGCATAATCAGACAATTTCTTTTAAGAATCAATTTGTGAGGCGGGAGTCCATTCGGCATTAAGGTGTTCAAGAACTCTTTTTGGTAATAATTATTTTTGTCATCTACTGCTTCATCAAAGCTAAAGAATGCTTTAGCTTCACCAGGAAATACTTCAATTAATTTTTCATTAATTCCATCGACATACTCATTCCTTGTTGAAAGAATAGCACGTTGTATCACGTATTCAGCAGATGATGAATTTGCTTGTAATGATGGAAAGATAGCATCAATCAAATTTTTTCAGAGTTTTCATCATTGTCATATTCTATTACCATTCATGTGGAAGAAGTATCAAATTCTCATCTATTGTGGGTTCCTCTCCATTCCCCACGCGCAATAAGAACTCTCCAAATACTTGATCAGTTCTTGCTCTTATATTAATAGTGAGAGATAATTTCTCCATTTTTTCCTAGAGATATAATTTCACAAGACTTGCATTGACTGTTTCTGCTCTAGTGTCGTGTGGAACAACTGGTAGAACTTGACGAAAATCACCTCCAAACACGACTACCTTTCCACCAAAAATTCTTTTGTCACCCATTACATCCCTCAATGTTCTGTCAACCATCTCAATCGCAAATCTTTTTGCCATAGATGCTTCATCCCATATTATAAGTGATGCCAATCGTATCAATTTTTATGTTCCATCCTGCTTTGATATATTGCACATTATAGTTTCATTAGCAGTAATTAGAATTTTAAATCACGAATGTGCAGTTTGCCCTCCTAGCATTATTGCTGTAGCCACTCCTGATGTCGCTGTTGCTAATGCTATCATCTTTCTTGATCTTAGATTTGCAAGCAATGCACGTGCTATCATCTTTCTTGATCTTAGATTTGCAAGCAATGCACGATAAAGAAAAGTTTTACCTGTTCCTCCTGGACCATCCACAAAAAATATTTTAGTTTTTTTTTTGTTGACTCTATCTAATATGATATCGAAGGCTTATTTTTTCCTCGGTATTTAACTTTGATTAAGCATGAAAATCTTCAAATGGAATGTCGATCTCCCTTTCATCAATAATTTCTCTCGGTAAAGTCTGACATTGGTCAACATCATCATGTATCAGTAATGATAGATCATAATCTGCAATATGTTTACCCATACTCTCAAGGAAGAGACTAATGCTTTTTAATGTCCCTGCAACACGAGCTGGTAGCATGTATTCATCTACTCCTCCCTTGAAATCTTCTGCCATCGCTTCAAAATGATCGTTCCATAATTTTCTTACATTTGATGGTTAGCAATAAAATAAAATAATGGCAAATAATCTTCGTAGTGCATAAGGCATTTGGAAGGCAGTGGCCTCAACTAAACAATCGAAAATACTATCATCAGCTTCTAGTAATCCTCTTTTTTATGCAGCTTCCTTGAAGGACTTATATGCAATACCATCAACTGTTAAAAGATATTCCTAGGAAGTAGGGCCCCTCACATGATTTAACAATAGACGTAAATAATATCTCTCTCCTTCTTTTGGGTTTGCAGCGTTTATACGACCAATGACAAGTTTGTGCTTTCGATCAGACCAAATCTTTGCTTGGTTATTCCACACGTAGTGTTCAGGAAATTCGACGTATAGAAATTGCCTTGCATTTTCAGTTGTTGTGCATTTTGTGAAGAATTCAGTGAGCATAGTTTTTGATGATCTCTCTGAACCTATTACATCACGAAGATCTCAATGTTGCCAATAACAAATTGATTGCTTATCTGGAAGATGTAACTAAAGATTAATGATTGGAGGAGTAGTTTCATTCATCTTGAATTCATGCATTCTCCAAAATGCTTCTTGTGCTGACACCCACCGTCCATCTTGGAAATGTTTTATTTCATCAAACTTATTTTGCTCTTCATTGTGTGCAAGGTAGATAGAGATCTTGTCATGCCCTTTATATATATATTTATATAAATATTTGATCGCTTTTACACTTGAGTAAACCTCAACATTAATGTGGCAATTGTACCTGTTAAGAAGATATGACGATATCATATTTAGAGATTTTCTCATATAGTATATTTTTTGTTAAAATGTTCTCATAAATAATAAACTTTAAAGCTATTATGAAGATTGTACATGGTAAGGAGATATGGATTATAAGGAACAACCCATTGGTTGTTCAACTCTGCTCGACGCACACATACTTTTCTACCATTATTCCTCCTCATGTAAATTGGATATGAATCTTTACCAACTATCGTCTTAGAGGAAAAAGGTCGTGGATAATGATGTCTATTCTTGATTAACCATGCAAGGGCTGTCCATGCGATGTTTCCCATAGGGACCATGCATCATATGTTTGACAACCATTTCATGAAGTCTTGGATGAGTAGACACATCTGGGATTTCTACTGAAATATATTTATTGAACTGGTCAGGAATTAAGTTTTTGCAATCTTCTTTCAATATAACCAAGATATGAGCATGTGGAAGTCCTCTTTTTTGAAATTCAATCACGTACGCATGCGCTCCAACTCTTCCAAAGACATTCTTTTTGAATAGTTGATCTTTTAGGTCTTCAAGTTTTGAACGGAATACACGCGATGTTAAATCAGGTCTGTCTTGAGCAACTTGTCCCATTAGAAGTTCGTCTTTTATTTCTTTCCAATCCGGATTACAAGTCATCGTAATAAAAATATCTGGTTTACCAAACCTCTGAACCAAAGCCATTGCATCAATATACCGACGCTGCATGTCTCTTGGTCCTCCAATGAAAGATGAAGGTAAGATAACCCTTTGCCCAACTTGATCACCTCGAGTTTCACCGGTGGTTAGACTATCCACTATTCCTTGATACACTTCAGATCTTATTTCAGATTGTTTTTTCCAAAAGTAATCAAGTCTAGTTGTCTCAAGTTTGATATACATGTCTACTACAAATTGTTGTAATAATCTTCCAGCAAGCAACAACACAGATAGTTCTGATTCTTTTATTTGTAACTTGTAGTAATAATATTCTCTGTATGAAACATGAGATTGTTTTGGCATAGTGACACCTATATGGAAAAATTTTATTAACATTTAATATATGAAGAAACATTATTGACCACAAATGTTAAAATAAGTATATTTATGAGTAATTTACATGTCTGTTCTTGTTGTAATAGTTCTTGTACCGATGAGAATCGCAATTGACTTGAATTATTGTTATGTTTTGAGATGGAGCAATCAATTTTTATGATATTTTGATGCCATCCGGATTCACCTTTCGGAAATAAAAGCGGGTGAGATGGAGCAATCAATTTTTATGATATTTTGATGCCATCCGGATTCACCTTTCGGAAATAAAAGCGGGTATTGCAATGGATCATAGCAACCGATGCCATCCGGATTCACCTTTCGGAAATAAAAGCGGGTATTGCAATGGATCATAGCAACCATAATAATTATTTTTACTGAAAGTTACCTTCATTGCTGAATTCATTATAATATTAATTGTTTACAAAAGAATTCAAGGTTTCAACAAAAGAAAATAAAAGGTTATAACTTTCTTAAAAATAACACAAGATCCGTTCGTCGTTTCTTGCTTGCGTGGGTCTTTAGCTGGTGACGGGGACGTCGATAAAAATAACACAAGATCCGTTCGTCGTTTCTTGCTTGCGTGGGTCTTTAGCTGGTGACGGGGACGTCGATATTCATGGACTACCTGACAATCAGATCAGATCCAGAACTCCGTCGATTCGCGAAGGAATCTAGAAGCAGAAGCGCTTATCTCGACAACGGCGAGATAATTGCTCTTCTTAAGATTATCGCAATGGGATAATCCTAAGGAACGGACGCGGGTGATGCAGATCTGAAGAATCTCTCTCTTGCGTTGACGAACTCGATCAATCTTCAGTCCGGCAGGGCTTCGCCAATTATCCAAAATTCCAAATCCAAAAAAATGATGGCCTGAGGCTGTATTTATAGGCTCAGGGGAGTTCGGGTGGTTGAAACTGCACAACGGTTGATTTTTAGGCCTGGAGACACCCCTGGGCGTCTCAGCGAGGCCGAGACACCCTTCGGTGTCTCGGCTTGGGCCAAGACACCCTTGGGTGTCTCAACCTTGGCCGAGACACCCTAGGGTGTCTCGGCCTTGGCCGAGACACCTTGGGGTGTCTCGCTTGTGCCGAGACACCTCGGGGTGTCTCAACTCAGGCTGAGACCCTTTTTCGTACACTTGGTCCGTTCTCCGCCGCTAATTTCTGCGTTACGAACTCGATTTGAAGTGATCAAAGTGCGTTGAAAGCCGATGAGCGAGTTCTATAAGTGTTCTAATGATTAGGTCATGTGAATTAGCTAGGATATGAGCGTCGTTTCATCTTTTGTAAGCGAGACTCCAGATCAGTTCGTGTCTTCGTTATTCTGAAATTCTGTTACTTCACGTAGTTCGTCGATTCACTTCGAGCGTTCATCGATGTTAATCAAGCTTCTGTGACTTGGATAGTGATATTCCTCATCTTCTCTTAGATTTGAGCTGCTCACGGAGACCTACAGGCAATTTTCGATGCCTAGAGATACCTCCTCCAAAGCGTTCCTGACTCATTTCTTTTATAGAAGAGGCTGGAATACTTTGGATATGATTGGTCCAGCCTTGATCAGTGTAAAGGACCTTTAATTAGCTTCGACTCTTGGCTCCTTCAATTTTCATTCTATTCGATGCTTTGACGAATAGCTGAAGTCCTTTCGACGCTGCGTTTATCGCCTGGCCGTCGTCGGAGTCTCGAGTCTACAGCCGGTGAGTTGGGTTTGGCTCGTGTCATTGAATTGACTTAGAACTGACTATTTCCGTTGCATCGGCTCTTTCATTGCAACGCATTGGTTGGCATTGACCTAGGGTTACGCGTTGACCAGCGTTGACCTAGGGTTTCGAATCGCCTGACATTGACTTTCGGTCGCAACGCGTTGACTGACTTTGACCTAGGGTTACGCGTTGACCGGCGTTGACCTTAGGGTTTAAATCGCCATACGTTGACTTTTTCATCGCAACGCGTTGACTGGCGTTGGCCTAGGGTTACGCGTTGACCGGCGTTGACCTTAGGGTTTTGAACGTCGCACGTTGACTTTTGGTTGCAACGCGTTGACTGGCGTTGACCTAGGATTACGCGTTGACCGGCATTGACCTTAGGGTTTAAATCGCCATACATTGACTTTTTCGTCGTAACGCGTTGCCTGGCGTTGACCTAGGGTCACGCGTTGACCGACGTTGACCTTTGGGTTTAAATCGCCATACGTTGACTTTTTCATCGCAACGCGTTGACTGACGTTGACCTAGGGTTACGCGTTGACCGGCATTGACCTTAGGGTTTTGAACGTCACACGTTGACTTTTGGTCACAACGTGTTGACTATCGTTGACCTAGGGTTACGCGTTGACCGGCGTTGACCTTAGGGTTTAAATCGCCATACGTTGACTTTTTCGTCGTAACGCGTTGCCTGGCGTTGACCTAGGGTCACGCGTTGACCGACGTTGACCTTTGGGTTTAAATCGCCATACGTTGACTTTTTCATCGCAACGCGTTGACTGACGTTGACCTAGGGTTACGCGTTGACCGGCATTGACCTTAGGGTTTTGAACGTCACACGTTGACTTTTGGTCACAACGTGTTGACTATCGTTGACCTAGGGTTACGCGTTGACCGGCGTTGACCTTAGGGTTTAAATCGCCATACGTTGACTTTTTCATCGCAACGCGTTGATCGGCGTTGACCTAGGGTCACGTGTTGACCTTAGGGTTTTGGATCATCCAGTGTTGATTAGTGTTGATTTGGTCAAAATATCCAATAACCGACAAACATGGGTGAAATTCAGGTTTGAAAAGCACATCCGGGGGCTCGAACTGGGCTGAGACACCCGTGGGTGTCTCAACCTTGGCCGAGACACCCTACGGTGTCTCGGTTCAAAAACCGAGACATTTGTCTCCCTTTTTTTTGTTTTTGTTTTCTTTTGTATTATGTACTTTCCCTCTTTCAAATTTTCAAAAAGAGAGTCCTTTTCCCCCCTTAAACTCTATCTTCTTCCTCCTCTTATCCAAACACCATTGTTCTCTTCCTCTAAGAACTCCAAACCCATTAGAATTCTCCTCTTTAAAACCTTCCCATCTCCTCATAAATTCGGATTTTTTATGATCTTCTCTTGGCCGAAAATATCCTCCCCTCAAGGCTAGGTTTTTCTTCATCTTCAAGCTCAAAGGAGGCTTCTTGATTTGGGTAAGTTCTCCTTCAAAACTCTCTCCTCCTTTAAGAAAGATTGCAACTTTATGCTTGTAATGGGAGTATGACATGAATTTATATGCCAAGATCATAGCTTTTTGTTCTCATGAGTTAGGTTTTGTGAAAAAAGATAGGATCTTGATGATGGATTGTGTGTATGTACAAAGATTTGGGGGGTTTTATGCAAAAACAACACTATGGCCGAAATTTGAGGGGCTTTTGTGCAAAAATAGACTAAAATTTGAGGACTTTTGTGCAAAAGTGGACTGAAATTTGGGACTGAAATTTCACACTTATTTGCCCAAACTTTGAGGGGTGTTTTCATGCAAAACATTCAACATTGTTGAGGGGTTTAATTGCAAAAAGCAACTGTATATTGTAGGGGGGTTTATTTGCAAAAAGGGCTGAAATTTTATGGCTAAAATTTCCAAGGTTTAGACCACAAATCCATGACCAAGAATTTGAGAGGAGTATGTGCAAACCAAACCGAAATTTGTAGAGGTTTATTTGCAAAATTTGCCAATTTTGATAGAAGGGTTTATTTGCAAAATTTGCCTAGATTGTGAGATATCGAGGATGTTAGATGAACAAACACGATGATCATGATCTAATTCGAGTGTGTCCTTGACCAAAATTTAGCCTTAAACACGAGGAGTATTTTGGGTATTTCACAAAAAATTTCATCAAGAGGGTTTATACTGCAATGTGAGCTCCTTGTTTGCACGCATAAAACTCATAGGTTTAATTAGACTTCAACTGTAAAATCCTATTTATTTTATAGTATTTTAGTTAAAGTTCTTAATTTCTCTTTTAACTTTTGGGTGTTCAGATTTATGATTGTACCTGACCCGTCGATTTTCATTGCAGGTTCTCCATGTCTCCGCGCCGACCACGATTTCATAGGAGTCGCTCCCTTTCGTAGCATAGCGAGAGGGAGGCTCCCGCGGCATCTTCCTCTGCGGCTTTCTCTTTTGGGGGTGAGCATGTGTCCTTTCCGTATCCCCGATTGATCCCTTCGCGGGTTATTCGGGAAGAACCGACATCCTCCTTCGTGGGGATCGAAGTTTCAGGAAATTTGTGGTTTTGTTATACCCTCGACTGGCCCCTTCGCGGGTCATTCAGGAAGAACTGACATCCTCCTTCGTGGGGATCGAGGTTTCAGACTTGTTTTGCTTGGCCAATTCAAGTCTTCCGGCATATTAGGGCGATTTCGTGTTGTCTTACACTGTGTAGATCGGGGTATGTTACCACATCGTTTACGTGATGATGCATACCACCCTTCCAGTGTAGGACACTCAAAATCGTCTCGCCAATGCCCAGTGGAAGATCCTATCTTGCTCTCTTGTGAGATGGATTTAATCCTTGTATAATTCATGGATAATTTTCTGACTCTACCCTTGTTTTGTTGCAGTTGAGTTCCCTGCGGATAACCTTCCCTCTCATGCTACTACTGGTTGTAGTGGGGAGGTCTTCTCTTCTA